TATAGGATATTTCGAGAAAAATCTGCTTGCGCCATAGATCTGATATTAGTAGATTTCTCCCCTAATTTCAAGATTAATCGATTGGGTCACAAACTCACCAAAATGATCACTAACATGATCGCCAAAGTCATTAAAATGATCGCCAAAAATGATACTAACAAGGCTCTATCGCCAAGGTTTCACCATTATAATGTAAGTAAAAGTGTTGCTTGCGAATATTACAATTTTAATACAAAATAAATACAACAAATTGAATAATAACGTATTACACATCGAACTATAAATTATTTACACTAAATAACACTATAACGTCAATTTCGAACCGGATTCTGTTTACTATGTTCTTCTTTCCACATTTTTGTAGGGAATTTGAATATTTTTCGTGACTTTTTATAATTTTCTCTAGTGATAACTCACAATTTTTTTTTGTAATTCTAGGTTAATTAGGAGGGATTTTCCAACTGCATAAACTTTGAACGTCCGCTTGTGTCATTTCGACACCGAGGCAATTTATCATTATCAAAAGATGTCGTTCAACAAAATGTAGCCCACTAAGTAGATACTATTAGTAAAACAAACTTCCCAAAGTTCTATCGCACATTTTTTTGACCTTGAATACAGTGTTATTGAGTTTACAGCGGATCTGAATGAGTTACACTAAAATTGTTGTGTCTAAGTCAGTGCTTCTCAAAATTTAAATATTCGCGACCCATTATTCAACCATAATTTTCATCGCGCCTCCTCATACAATAACAATGTATTGAATTCAATAATACTATACTTTGATGCTAAAACTATGATACGGCTTTAACCTTTTAAATGTCATTGGCGTATATAAATGCCCCACTCAGCCAAAGCGTTAATTTCCCCTGACGTATATATATGTCTTTCTGAAGTACGATCTTTTCTGTGAACTGCTATCCATAAAAAAATTCCGAAGGCTTTCGAATGCAATTAAAAGACTCTGACAATGTTTGCGAAGGAATTGCTTATTTCACAGTTTATTATTATTATGTTTTTTTTTTTTTTTTTACTTCTTTATTCCTCCACCGCCCATTGCATTACATACGCGCGCCTACGTGGAAAATGGTTGGCATTTGGAAGCTGATCACGTTACTATTGATCGGCAGTTAAGGGGGATTCATTATAAACCGTACAAAATAACAAGTGTTAATTTTGGTACATAATTTTATGTATGATAAAACCATGGGGTCACTGGCAGTTATTAAACTTGTGGCTAACTTAGTATTGTTAAATTAATTACCAAACACGTTGCGTAGCACTGATACATTTCTAAGTTTAATATATCAGTTTAAACGTGTATTTTATTTTTTATCATGTTAGTATGTATTTTGTTTGTTTGCTTTCAGTAAATTAATATATATTTTTTAAAGTAATCTTTTGTTTTTGACTTTTCAAAGAGACCGTAGACCGTGACAGGAGTTTACCCTAACAGTCTTGGTGCGTGAAAAGGGTCTATCTGGTGTACTTCGGGGTGGTGGATGAAAATCCGAAATCAAATTTTAGAAGTTCCAGAAATTTTGCGAGATTCTGCTGGACGATCCAAATGCCACCCTCCCAGGAACTGAACTCGCAGCCTGGAGGGCAACAAAAAAGTCTCCAGTTGCGTACAGGGGTGGGAAACGAGAATCCTATATTTCAGAAATTCCCATAATTTTGCAGGATATTATCGGAAATAGATAGAAAAACTTTGCATTCTTGTCCCATGTCCGGATTTTCATTCCCTCTAGTGACTGAACTTGCTCGGGCTGGGGCATCAAAAGTCAATCCTGTGTGCGTTTTGAAGTTTTGAGTGAGAATCTGACTTTGGAATTTTAGGAATTCGGATAACTTTGCTGGATAATGCCGGACGGCCATAATATTCACAGCCTAACTTGTTACTTAACATGTAACTTAAAAGTACACCATCCGCAATTTTAGCCACCTGGCTTGCATTTTCGTATTTATCATAGAAAAAATGTAAAAAGAACCAAATTTTTCTTTGTGACTTCCATTTTTAACACCCTGTAACTCACAACTGAATAGATCAAAAAAAAAAAAAAAAAAAGAAAAAAAATTTTTTTTAGTGTGAGATGTTATCTTGGCAACGAGCATAAATTTGAAATTTTTTGATAGATACTTCACGAGCTATCGACACTACAGCCATCTACCGAAAAAATAATGGATTTTTTTCCCCAACCTAATATTTATATTAATTGTAACTATTTAATAAAAAGTAGCTAAAATAAAATTTTTCTTTGTTCATATAAGTAGGAATTGACTTAATTTTTTTTTTATATTACTTGTTAAATCAAGAATATCTTTCAAAACATTCGATAGAGTAAACAATATATACTCGTACTGCATGATGAAATACCCAACGAAGCAAGTGGGCATCGGCTAGTATTCTTATATTGGTGGGGTGAGGAAAAAGACGTCAGCTCATTGCCTAATAAAAACCTCACACTAATAAAAAATTAAAATTAAAGAGTACTCCCATATATATATATTCAGAAAATTAAACAAACATTTACGGAATTTTAGCAATATTGTATTCCCAAAATGATGTGAAATGTATCGTAAGAAATTTAACGAGACCATGAGGTAAATTAATGCCATACTCTCATTGGAATTAAACTGATGAGATAACTGAAGCTCATACTCTCATATATTTGTCTAATGATATAATTGAGTCTCACACTCTTATGTATAAATCTCATAAGATAAATGAATCTCATACTCTCAAATATTTATCTAATAATATAAATGAGTCTCTACTCTCATGTATATTAATCTCATGAGATAAATGAATCTTATACTCTCATATATTAATACATACAGAATACAGAATATATACAGAATTTCATAGAAATTAACTAATGGCATTAGGATTTAAATCCGCAATTTGAAAACGTCGGCCAAGCGCTAGATTCAGTGATCTACGTGATGTGGTGTATAAAATGAAGTTACGCGTTAAATCTGCTTAGGATAAAGTAAGATTTTAAAATTAAGTAAAAAAACTGTTTGTGTGGGAAATGATAACATATGCATATAGATTTTTTTTTTCTTTTTTGTATATCTACGTAAGAAATGAAACGCACACACACACATATCTTGATTATTTTATTAACTTTAGCATCGTTCATACATATTCATGTTTTAACGAACCATTTTAAAAAAAATTACAAACTTTCAAAATTGTTCATTTTGCTGACTTAAAAAAAAAATATGTTAATTTATTTGGGTGCTATTTTTTTTTCCTTTTTTGTCTGAGTTTAAAAGTCGAAATGATTTTTAAAAATCAAATCTTGTAAATCAGTTTTTATGATAATTTCAATTATTTATTTTTATTTTTTTCCTACATTCTTTTTCTTTGTTATGTTTATAATAATAATATGCATAAGTATTTCTGTTGTTTCCTGCTTCAAATTTGTGTTATACTCTGATTTTGATAAAAAAAAGGAACTAAGGCTAGTTTCTTTATTGATTTAATAGCGGCACTCTCTCTCTCTCTCCTTTTTATAATCTTAGTGATTTCATAGAAAAAAAAATAATATACATTTTTTTTTATTACTGACTAAATTTCCTATCTTATTCCATCTTATTATTTTCTTAACGAGTTCAGATATTAAAGCATGCATTCCTAGTAACATAAACTAATATGAACACGATAAAACAAATTAAATAAGATGGTTATCTCTGAAAGAGCGAAAAAAAAACAAACAAAAAAAACTCTAAAGGTTATCTTTGGAAATAGAACGAAGTGAAAAAACAAAGAATAACTTATAAAAATCTTCTCTTTGAGTGAATTAAGTTATTATAACATACTTTTTACAGCCATATTATTGCCTTTAGCATAACGAAACATGACAATAAAAACAGCTTTACTTTGATATCGCGAAAAAAATACATATGAGGTAAAACAATTTATTACTAACATTGAAAAAAGTACTTAAGTGCATATTAAACTTTCTCTATGGCTGAAGAAATCATTTCTTGAGGCAAATAAAAAGTATAAAATAAAAAAAGCATATAAATCTGGGGGCTAACAAAACGCATGTCTTTTAATGCTACTTAAAAAAATCAGCACTTTTTTCCGGCTATGGATATCTAATTTCTCATTGCCATGCCAAAATACAAAAACATATTCATACCTAAACATTTTTAAAGTCTGTGACAGATATATGTCTTAAATACTCTGAAACAATTAGAAGAAAAATTCGATTATAATAAGGAAATTATATTAAGGTATTCCGAACATATTACGAAATCCCCCATTTTGAGCTTATTCTCTATAAAAGCAATATGAAAAAGTGACAAAAAATCTTTACATTCTCTCAGCATAAGAATTGTAATGCATGTTACAACTGCCTAAGAAGTAAATTAGTTAGGAAGAAGAGAGTGGTTTCTGGGAACTTAATTTTTTTTTATATAGTTTTATGGAAATGTTTGGCGCCCAAAAATGTGGCTGAAGTACGTGAAAAATATTAAGGTATCCTTTTTCTAGGGAATCGCGAAAAATCGATAGAAACGTAAGTTACTTTAACGTATGAAATGAAAGAAGACTAGTACTTAGAAAAAAGTGGTATTCCTAATTCAAATTAAAAAGAGGAATGTATAAAATTAGAGATTATATTAACATTAACACATTTAAACTGATTTGACAGCACGCCGTACACTCATTGCTATTTTCTTCCTTTTATCTTTTACTTTTTGGTATTTTTCAATTCCTACAAGTAGTTCACACTCACCTTATATATATATATATATATATGTGTGTGTGTGTGTGTGTATATATCTTGTTCAAATTTCAATCGTTATTAAAATACTTTTTATTCATCCACTTTAAATGCATTTGTTTAAATTTGTAGTGGATGACACTTGATGTTCATGCAGTTTCTGAAATAATAATTCATTAATTCTATTTAATTATTGGATAAATAATAACATGCAAAAATAATAGTCCAACAGCATATTTAAAAAGGAAAAGTGATCGTTGTATCCCTGTGGCACAATGAATAGCGCGTTGGATTTCGAATTCAAAGGTAGTGGGTTCTAATTTCACCTGGGATGGCCTAATTTCTGAGAATGTGAATTATTTTTACTATACTATTTTAGTGGACTAAATAAAATTTAATAAACGAATTAATAGTAATAAACAAAACATATAATTTCCCAACACCCTATATAGAAAATAAAATAGAAAATTGCAAGGAAGATCACTTTCAATTTTTTAAATTGATATTGTGATGCTGTCATATGTATATACATATTTATATTATTTGTAATTATGTAAGACTAAGTAACTAAAATGAAATGTTTCCTTGTTGACCTAAGTAGGAATTGACTTATTTTTTTTATATTACTTGTTAATCCCAATAGTTGGATTATTATTGCTAGTATTTTAAAGAGATGCAGTGTTTTCATAGTACTGAAATGATTTTTATCCGGAGTGTTCTTTGTGTAAATTGCTCTTTCTAATCAGGAACTCAAATTCTTGAAAATTTTCGAGTAAAAACAGGGATTGGCAAGACCATGTGCAATTTTTGCTTGAGAAAAAAGGAAAATAGAAACAAATTCCTAAAACAGCCGATATATTTCTGTCCCGATTACAATATAAGACTTGGTATTACACCATGCTTCAAATTGTGCGTATAAATTCCTAACCCTTTGAAAGAGAGGACGGATATGAAACTTTTTTGTAAGTATGAGAGAGAAACTCTTGTAAAATATATCAAATAGTCTTCACAGTATATTTATAAAAAACAAACATTTAGGAGATTTATGTTCCAAAATTATAAAATAAAAAATAGCGGAAAACTTTAAAATTGAAACTTATAATAAAATTCTTATCTTTTCTCATTCTATTAAGTATTATGCTCAATTATACGCAATAAAAATGTTCCTTATTTTAAAGTATTCTGGACAAAAAGAATATATATATATATATATATATAGCGATGTATATATGTGCGTTTAAGTTTATTTATTAATTTAAAACATATATTTATCATTACATGCAAATTTCTATAATTAGGAAAATACCAAATTTTTCATTTGAATTAACTTTATTTTGAGCCGGGGCTGGGTGGCATGGTTCTTTTGTCGATGGGGTTCTGCATCTAAGATTGCGGGTTTGAACCTGGCCCAAGTCGATGGATTTTTATGATGCGGAAAATTGACAACTGCCCCCCATGTCGTATTATTATACTGCCTGTAAAAAATCCCTAGAGAGTATATTTGGCATGGGTGTGCTCTCGGTAAAAAAAAAAGTTTCGTACAGGTTTGTCTCGTCAGAGCTCGGGGCTGCGGTAGCACAGTGGTCATGTATCGTATCATGACAGGCATGTCATGAGTTCGAGCCCAGTACCACTAAAGATCCGCCATGTAGGAGAACGATGAATGTTAAATCTGTCGAGAACGTTAAAAATCTCAAACGTCCTCCCGTTGGTGCGGTGTGGTAGTTAGGAGAGGGGGTGTCAACTCAGGTGTCGTCCTCGTCACTTGACCATGGTTCAAAATTACGAGGTCCGTCACCAAAAGTCCTCGTGTAGCTGAACTGTGCGACGTTAATATTCAATAACTCACTCAACACACGTAAAAATAAATTTTATTCTCAGTTTCTTTTCGTATGCAGTGGACTAACTTATTTGGTTTTATAAGTGTTAGAAGGAATTAGAACATTAATTTGCGATTAATATGTAACTGTAAGAAATTTGCGGAAATGTGATTGTAGGTATTTTTCCCCAACTGTCTCATGAGTTGATAGGTTCGACACAATGAAATGGAAACGGCTTTCTGCAAGCATTATTATTATTATTATTATTATTTACCTCAAAAATTATCTTACTGGATTACTTCATATAAGTTGGTATTCTGGTATACATTCATTGGCGTTGGATGCAACAATTCTTATGAAAGCTTAAAAATTGGTACACGAATGCCGCATTGAGAATGCTCAGTCTTTCAGCAATAATAAAATGGCATGTGCTCAGCACGCTTACCGGTAATATTGAAATTCATTGTCGAAGAATAGGTCAAACAGTGTACCATACTCAGAGAATTATGTACCATATGAGTTGGGTAATATGCATTAGAGGCCAGTGGAAAACGAACCTCACGAATGTTACCTGCCGACATTAACCTGTATTGATTGATAGGACATTCAAACAAATAAGGGGGTAGGGCGGCCTATCCATAGGAGACCATGTTAAGTTTCGTACATTCATGTACCTTTTTCTTAGAACTACTTACTTCTCATAAATAAAAATTTTACAGTACGTGATATGTATTATGAATAACACTTTAACGAAGGGTTTTTATCTTTTTGTTAAAAATTAAATTAATTAAAATTTTTCCACTTTCCCCCCTAAAATTTAGTTTAAAAAAGTCATATCTAAAAAAAGTTTGCAAGATATACCTAATTCCCTCCTTTACAATATGTGAACTTGTTAAAAGTCTGCTTACTGAAAGTTTGAGTATAATATAAGAAGTAGGTTTTGAGGAAAAGGTACTAAAATGAAAAATATTGCATTTCAAGGAAACAGACTTTAAAGTAAAAATTTGTAATTTTCTGAGCATTTATTTTTTTATTACTTTCCAAAAGCATATGAGATGTTTTTATAACACTCTGCTCATACGAAAACTTTTCTAATTTTCTTTTTTTTTTCTATTATTTTTAACAATTTTACTTTTTTTGGTGGGGGGAGGGATCTTAAGATGCTTTCGTTAAGCTTTACAAATATTACGTGTATATAGTTTTTTGAAGATTGACACACGGTTATAACTTGGTTCAATATTACAATGTTTACAATGTTACAATGTACTAGGTATCCGACTAGGTTGAAAAAGTGCTTTTTTAGGTGTTTGATGTTTGGTGTTTTTTGGGTCATTAGGCAAACAATAAATTAATTATTGAGGAAGAAGGACTAATACATAAAACTAGGGAGCTTTTTAAGTTCTTTTTATAGCATTTACTTTATCTCTAACTAATAAAAATATTTTTTTTTTAATTCGTTTTTTGAAGAATAAACTTTTTATGATAATGTGTGCTTGAAAAACGGGATATCTTCTAAATAATCCTATCAAAAGCAAAAAAAAAATTATAACATATATGCTATGGGTCCTTCAGATTGTAACAAACCGCATGTTTTAAGACAGCTGCATTTAATCACATTTTACAGCCATTTTTAGCTTAGAACATGCAGTAATTATGACGAAAAATCATGACCATCAAATTTAAATGCTAATAAAGTATTTATTTCTTAAGATATTTTTTATCCTGCGGTTTGTGACACTTCAGAGGGATCAAGTAGTATATTAATGACGTTAAAATTGCATACTGTGCAATTTATTTTTATTTATCTCGTTTTTCTTAACTCAAAAAAATTTGCTAAATTTTCCTAAAAATAATTTTTTTTCAAAAAAAAGGGCGATACATGTTATTTATTTAATATTTTGAGTTAAGTAAAACGAGATAAATGTTTTTTTTTTTTTTTTAATTTTTTTTTATTCAAAAAATCAACTTTTGAAAAATTTATCTCCGAACCTAGTCGGATGCCTTAAGATCATTAATTTTGCTACATGACTCATATTGAACTGGCCAACAATAGCCATATTTACCCCTAATATATATATTTATAGTTTTTAATTTCGTAAATGTAGATCTTGAAATCACTGACCATATGGTGTTATTTGTAACTGACTTACTTGGATTGTGGGTACAATGTTCTGCGGATTCCCTATAAATATTTTCTTAATAACATAGGATTCCCTAGATGTCTGAAATTGGCTTCATTTAATTCATTATGGTGTATGTGTTTATGATCCTAATGCCTTTCTTTATATTCAACTTCTGTCTTTTGAAATTCGCACTAGGCATTTATAATAGCCGAACATTGTTGAGGGCTCTCGTTTAAAGACAGAAGAGGAAAATAAAAATCTCAATCAGCACATTTTATACTGTGTAGAAAATTGATACTATTTCTATAGCCATACTATTATATCTTTGAATATTTAAAGTCGGTGTGTCTGTTACCACCTCTTAGGCTTTTTCCATCATTTAACTTTTTTCTCACTGTTTCGCTTTTGAGATCCAAATGACGTGTACCCATATACTTTTGAATATAAGCTCAATACACACTTTTCCATTTTAATATCATATGGATTCACGTTTATCAGAAATTTATGCAAGGGGAAACACAGCTGGTGCTAGCAGAGCTCATTTGATGCGCGCCAAGGATTAGCATCATTTACAAAACTTTAAAAAATACTTCTAATTATCGTATATCCTCATATCATATATCATTTTAAACACGAATATTTGAACGTCTAGAAGACATAAAAAAGTGAAAATTGATAATTTTTCGAAAATTCATTTGCCGTCCATCTTTAATAGTGTTTGTTGGTTGAAAATCACTCAGAACCTTATACACTGTAAATATTATGACCCAATGATTTGTTCAAAGCTTCTCTAAAGAGATCTATTAATTAATATTTTATACTCTTGTCAATAGTTTCAGTATTGTTTCTATAGGAAAATGCATTCGTAAAATAATTTCAGGGTGTTTGTAACATTATAGTTACAGCAATATTTCTCTATGATTTTATTTTATTTTTTTCATTTTCCCAAACATAATATATGATCTGATCATAAATAATGCATTTCAGGTGTTAAGTGATATGTTGTTGAATATAGTTATAAAAATATTTCTTTTATAAGTAGTTTGACCGTATTCTCCCAAAACACACACGCATGGAACAAAAAGTATATTGTGCAGACGGCCTACACTTAATTTCTGGAAGCTAATATTATTTGAGCAGATATTAGTTTCTGTAATGGGCACTGTTTTATTAGCGTTTATTTTTTTAGAAACTAACAACAATTTTATTTTATTAAAGAAATCACAGTTAATAATCAACTATAAATTATTCCATGCCTTATCAGGAAATATATCGTTATGTTATTTAAATAGCTTCATGTGTTTGTATTGCTTATTTAGTTATAAAAGCTAAATCTTACTTAGTAGTTAGAAGTTTAATGCTTCTTTTTTAGCTTTTCTCTAATTATTCAG